CTTTGAAGATAACAATATGCAATGCAATAACCATTGTTAATTTCCTATCATCTTATTTTCAAATTCTGTATCATTTTTATTTTTTCTTTATTAAAAAAAACTTGAAAAAAAAAAAAAAGATTGAAAGCCAGGCATCGTGGGGCATGCCTATAATCTCAGCACTCAGGAGGCTGAGGCATGAGGATCGTTGCCAGTTTGAGACCAGCCTGGGCTACAAAATGAGCTCCAGGCCAGTCAGAACTGCGTAGCAAGACCCTGTCTCAAAAAGACCAAAAAAACCCACCATAATCTGATAAGCAAAATAAAGCATACATAAGTTTGAGCTTATGGAGGAAAACTTTCTTTTGAAGTAGATTCTAAAACATTTTCTATGAGCTTGTGACATACCTTGGACACTGCAGCATGGATGGGAGTTTGAAGACTGACAGAGAAAAACATTTCAGTAGGATGTATGGCTGGGAAAACATGAAATATATTCTAGAAATTGTGGGTCTCTTTTGAGCTCAGTAAGAGGAAGTGATAGGAGTCAAAGCTGAACAGTTAGATTGGAGTCAGGCTGTGCAATTCTTGATCACCATGCTGAGACATCTGTGATGGGCTTCAAAGGACAATAATTTTTTTTTTGTTTTGTTTTGTTTTTCTCTGGTACCAGGAACCGAACTCACGACCTTGCACTTGCCAGGCAGGCGCTTTGCCGCTGAGCTAAATCCCCAGCCCCCCAAAGGACAATAATTATTAGACATGTGCATCAGCCTTGCTTAGCTGTCCAAGTAACGTGGGTCTGAGCCAAGGAAATAATCATCACTTGTCTTTATCTGTTCCTTAAATTTGTTAAAAATTGGGCCAGCAAATTGTGTGCATTTGGAGAAACAAAGGCACAGCATTCTGAAATCAGGGACTTTTCCTATTCATACTGATATGACCAGTACATTACCTAAATCTAACAACTATTTGCTCCTATAGCTGTTTTCTCAGTCATTAGGTAGAAGCTCAGCAATAAAAGAAGGTTCAAAACACGTATCTTTTTTAAAAATTACATTTTTTTAAATTTTAAAGATAAAAGGGGGGATAAAAATTACATTTTAAAAATTACTATAAAGCATAACAGACATAGCCTAAACAGACATACCCAAATGCAGTGTGTCTTATTGGACCCTAGTGTGAAAAAAATAGTACAAAAGATGTTATTTTCATTGTCAACAAATTTATTTTTATTTTATAAGGGAATGGATTAAGAGAAAAAACACATGGAGTACAGAAGTGTGGAACAGAAAATAAATACAAATGTAAGCTGTGTTGCTAAATATTTTATAACCACAACAAACTAGTACAGAGAATGCCCTGTACACAACACAAAAAAGTTTCAAAGATTGAGATGTTCCCTTAGCGAGGCTGAAGATGTCAGGCTCTGTATTTGGAATTTAGGCTACAGTCCTTGATTTGGGATGGATTACTGCATGTGTGGCACAGTCCATAGTTTTAACCAGATCTGAGCAGAAGAATGGCCACTTGGCCCAGGTAGAAGTAGATGAAGTGTTTGCTTTCATGTGTCACATAACTACTGAAGTTCCTCCCTACAATGCAGTGCCAGGTAGGGTTGTACTTCTTGTCAAACTCCATCTTGATATAGGCCACTATGTCTTTTTCTATATTAAATCTCTCCAGCATCTGAGCAGTGCACTCCACCAAACCCTGTTGCATCTTTTCTGACATGTTCTCATTGTTGATCACCGCCTTTGGGTCGCACAAGGTCACCATGGAGCAGGAGCTGGCGGGCTGCAATGGTGTCCTGGGGGAGGTGCTGGCATCACTCGGGCTGAAATGGAGATACGATAGCTACCAAAGCCATGGCACATCTGCAAAAGACATTCTTAGGATATTTGAAGAAAGGTGAATATGACCCTGATGTATGAAGATATTTTGGAATATTTTTTGTCGTACGTGTTTGCAATTATCTTTTGGATAGCTAGGAGCAATATATACATACATATAAAGCATACATATCAGAACATTGCTAATTGATTACTCTAGGTGGAAGATATAAAGGTATTCGTTTTACTATTTTTTTCTTTTTTTACTTTTTGATATGCTTGAAACTGTGCAAATGAGTGACTTAGTGGAAAAGGGCTGGGGCTGTAGTTCAGTATGAAGGCCTTGAATTTAAGTTCCAGTTACTCCCTCCACCAAAATAAACCAACCAACTCCAATTCATTTTTTTTTTAAGAAGAGGCTTATTTAAAAGATAGTAGTTAGCTCACTGATTCTTTAGGAAAGCTTAAAAGTGATACTGTGAGGTGTGTCCTAGGAAGAACTAGTCACCCTGTCCCCACCAGCCAGACAGCTGATTCTGTTGACACTGATGCCACAATTGCTACCCTGTCTCCCTCTAAAGACTCAATATAGCTGCCAGCATGCTGTTGCCTCTCCTGGACCAGAATATTCTGTTAGCCCTTGACCAATGAAGGCTCTGACAGCAAGGGACTATGGGAAAATGCCTGTCTTGCATGTTCCAATTTTGTAATGGAACAGGCAGTCTGCTTCACAAGGTGGTAATTCCCCAACAATAGCAAAGTGGTCCAGAAGTCAGTTAGCTAAGAACAATAACAAGGGTCAATTTCTTCTGCAACTGACACGGAAGGGTGTTTTACTGAAGATGTAAGTTATCTCCTTCCAAGAGGATGTCACAATTTGATATGTATACATGTATCCTCTCACATATACCTATAGAGGTATAATAGGTATATGTGTTGTTAAAACATATTTTACTTAAACAATAATAATGGTAGTAGCTAACAGGTACCAAAAAATGGCTATTTATCTGTGTGCCAAATATCATTTTAAAACACACTTAAAGAGGCTGGGGATTTAGCTCAGTGGCACAGCGCCTGCCTGGCAAGTGCAAGGTCATGAGTTCAATTCCTGGTACTGGAAAAAAACAAAAACAAAAACAAACAAAAAAAAAACACACACATAAATGAATTAACTTATTTAATGCCAACAACCATTTCAGATAGATACTAACATTACCATTGTCATTTCTTCTGAGGAAACTGAAGTTACACAGGTTAAGTAAGTATTTAATTATCCAAGTTTTCAGAGTGGGTAAGTGGTAGAACCAGGATGATGATGACATGACGATGATGGTGCTGGTGGTGGTCGTAGTGGTGATTTACAGTGGTGGTGCACTGAACTACATTTCCAGCCCTTTTATTATTATTTTTTATAATTTTGAGACAGGTACTTGCTAACTTGCTAAGTTGCCTAGACTGGGCTTGAATTTGAGATCCTCCTGCCTCAGCATCCTAGAGTACTAAGATTAAAGGAATGTGCCACCACACCTGGCTTGGAGCCAGGATTATTAAGTAGAGCCTATGCTCCTTAAACACAGCAAGACAACCCTTACTGGATCACTTAAACATCTCTAATGGCCACTGTTCTATTATTTTCTTTATTCATTTAATGATTGTTTACTTCATTTCTTTACTGGGTGTATAAGATGAACATAGCACAGTTAATCTAAATAGTCTCATATTGATCAATATTTGGCTTATCAAATTTTCCTTATTCAAAATAATATATCCTCTTAGATATATCTTTCTGCATATACATAAGTACTTCCAAGAGTCCTAGTAGTACAACTGCTGGATCAAATGGTAAAGTATGTTAAATTTTATATATGTTACTAAATTATCTCCTAAAAAATTTTGTACCTATTTACAGTCTGCCTTTCTATAATTACATATGTGTTTCAGTGTTTCAGTGTTTCTCTCATCTATCTCTACACTGATAGCAATTGAAGGGTGGAAAACATCTTGTTGCGATGGTAATTTATATGTTCTTCATCTCAAGTCTGCTAGCTCAGCTTCTTTTCATGTTTTCACTGGCCATTCATGTTTTTCCTTCTATGAATTGCCTATTTGTATTTTTAAAGCCATTTTCTCCACTGGTAATTTTTCTTTCTGTCTTTTTTTTTTTTTCTCTCCTTTTTTGATGATGGAGATTGAATCCAGATTCTTCACACTGAGGTATGAAGACAAGGTCTTTAGGTATTGAGACAGGGTCTTGCTAAGTTGCTAAATTCCCTAGGCTAGGTTTGAACTTTCAGTCCTCCTGCCTCAGCCTCCCAGAGTGTTGGGATTACAGGTGTGTGCCACCATATCCAGCTTACTTAACATTTTATTTATCTATTTATTTATTTTTAATTTATTTATTTTTGGTCTTTTTGAGACAGGGTCTCGCCATGCAGTTCAAGCTGGCCTTGAGCTCACTTTGTAGCCCAGGCTGGTCTTGAACTCGCAAGATCCTCCTGCCTCAGCCTCCCTAGTGCTGGGATTACAGGCGTGCACCACCATGCCTAGCAACATTTTATTTAATACATTCAGTTGAGGTTGGCTTTCCTCGGAATTATGATACATGACTTTTGTAATTAATTTTGAAATTAAAAATTTGGGGGAAAAGGATGGTGGTGATAGTCAATCACTTTGTGCTTAGCTTTTCAGAAAGGTATTCAGTAGCAACACAAAGTGATGGTAAAGGGATAGCTTGAAACTGGAAGCTGAGAGACAAAACACAAAATAAATGTCTATTTACCAAGGTAAGAAGCAATAAGGAGCTGGGCATGGCGGTGCACACCTGTAATCCCAGCACTCTGGAGGCTGAGGCAGGAGGATCTTGTGAGTTCAAGACCAGCCTGTGCTACAAAGTGAGTTCAAAGCCAGCCTGAACTGCATAGCAAGACCCTCTCTCAAAAAAACAAGAAAGAAAGAAAAAAAAAAGCAGAAGAAGCAGAGAAGAGATAAGGACCTGAGCAGCTCAGGTTGGGAATGCTGAGATGATGAAGCACTAGAAAGGACCATGTACAGATCTCATGACTGATTACACATGGCGGAGTAAGAAAGACAGAGTAATTTAGACCAACTCTCGGGTTCCATGCTTGGGAGACCTGGTCCTTGATAGTGCCATTTACTGAAGCAACAGGCTGGTCATTGCCTCTGTGCCCCTCCCCCTGCCTGCAAGCTATTCTTTACTCTTTCCCTCACTGCGTTCTGCCCCAGCAATCTATCTCTGAGGAACGAATGACCGGGTTCCTTTGGTCTTTAGCTTCAGGCTGGGCTTGGCCCGTGGGTGCTATCAGCAAGGAACTACAGAGAGAGGCAGGTTTGGTCATGGCTATGGTCACATCTTCTGTCACGAGCGGGTCATAAGTTCATCTCCTTGATCCTCTTGGGCTTCCCCTTCATTGCTAGACAGCCCTTATTGGATTACTTCAGCATTTCTGAAGCCGAACTTTCATCAGTGACTATTTTCTTCCTGAACCAAAAGTCTTATCAGATTTTATTTTGGGGAATTTGTATTAGGGGGTTTAGGCTAAAACAAAAGCTCAATAACTAGTTTTTGATCAATCAATTCAGTCTCACAGTAATTTGTTCTTGTTCTGTATATTTGGCATTGTGGTTTTTATGAATCTGTCACTTTCTTCATCAGAGTGTTGGGAAATTCGTTTCTATTTAATTTTATTTTAAAGAAGAAAAAAATCAAAACAAGATGATAGGAGAGTAACAGTGGTTAATACATCGCATGCTATTTTCTTTAGTTACTCAGAGTACAAGGTATAGGCATTTAATTGTCTAAACAATATTAGCACAAACCTTTCTTTTCAATGAACTAAGAGAAATAAGCAGTGTAACTATCT